TTTTTTTGCCAGCAGTGGGGCTATGTCTTGATTTTCTGAGGAGGGCTATTAGAAGTAGTTCAGGCCATAAACCTTTGATATTTCCCTTCTGGATAACATCAAAGCACAGAGAACGGAATAGAGAATAACATATTAGGTGTGGCATTGAAGGAAGAATTAGTCTTTCTTTGATATGCCACAAAAACTGAAATCAAGTATGTTGGCCTGAAAAGGTAAAGATTGCTAAGATGGTGATTCAGTCTTTAGGGCTTGCCTCTCCTTAAGCACCAGGGTCACTGCCAGCTGAAAAAAAAAAACTGAGGTTCTGGTATTAAAAAAGGTGGGAGGAATTAGTGGTTGGCGGGCAGGATCTGCCCTGTTTACCTAGTCATAACCTCACATGATGCTCACATGAACCTGACATGTGGTTTTCGGCACCTTTCCATTCACCACTTTGTTATCTTCAGCTTACTAGTTGTTTTCTGATGTATTTGACTGTGTAGACTACCTCTGGGGGACTGTCGTTTGCAGAATCATCTGCAGTATCATTTCTATGTAGATCACAGCTGCCTCCATTTTAGGGGGTATCCCCTTCTGCTTTTCCTGCTGAAAAGAGATCAGTGTCCAGTTGAACAAGATTAGTCCACTAGTCGAAGTGTGGACAACTAATGAAACAACACTTGACTTCATTGTGGTTCTGTGTTTCACTGATCTGAGAGGAATTGAGATTAGTTAAGCAACCCACACAATGTTCAATACTGTATCTGATTTCATTACTGAAGGTTGCAACCCTAGGAAAGTAACTACAAATTGATTAGCGTGATAGCAATCACTTAGGAAGATAAATTAATGAGAAATGTTCGTCTTTATAAAGATTTCCATCTGGGAGTTGAATGAAAGCCCCAGGACATTGTAGCTTTCAGTCACATGATGTACACCTTCTAAGTAGTAAAGTATTATGCCATCCAGAAAATAGATTTAGAAGGATACATGCTAAATGAAGTATTCAACCTTGACATCCAAACACAGCGTGTCTTAGAAATACC